GAGACTCTGTCTCAAAAAAAAAAAAAAAAAAAAAAAAAGTCTGCAGAAAGGAGAGGAAGAGCGTGTTCAAGAGGGGTACCAGGTGCAGATTATCAGCAATGTACCTGAAACAGCCGTGGCAGCGCAAGATGTAGCTCCGGGCCTCGCGGATCAGCATGCCATTCACCGCCAGCACATGCAGCCCTATCTGCAGCAGAACATTCTACAACCAACAAGTTAAAGAACCGAACTAAGTCTTCTTTTAATGTTAATTTCTGTAATCACAGTTAAGAGAACATCACAAACCTCGCTTTGGCCCACAATCCTTGGCTTTTGCTAAGGAAAGTCACCTTGGGATGCCTCTCAAGACGTGTCCGTGAGGACAAGGACCCAGGTTTCTTTCTAATCCCCAGTCCTAGGGCCTGTGCCCATCATTTCACGAGACCTGTCATTAGCAATCTCTCTTGACAGAAACATTTATTTGTCAGGGGTTCAGGGGTGAATATATTCATTTCTGGGCTGGAAACCCTAACTTCTCCAAGTACTTAACTGAGCACAGAACGTTACATACACTGACAGAAAAGTATCAACAGATCATGAATAATAAACATTAAACACTTAATATACCATATAAATCTTGTTACCGTATCATATGATTGTCTAGCCTCCAAGCAAAACTGAAAATTACCAAAGAGAATAGTTTCTACAGCCAGGAAAGAAGCATCACACAACAGCAGCTCTGCACACATCCCAAACCTCTGGAGGACCATGCTGATGGCGTGTGTGACATAAAGCCCATGACCAGCCCCTGCCTGCCGCACCCACCTGCATGGCAAAGTCTGTAGTCACACAGCCGACCCGCACGTCCTTCGGGACGTCGCACTGCTCCAGCTCCTGCTGGATCTGCTTGATGTTGCTGGGGGTTATCCACCCACCCCCATCGTCATCACTATCTTCGCCTTTTCTCTCTTCCAGCCCATTTTCTTCCTCTTCCTCCTCCTCACCTCTGTCAATCTGAAACATCAACAGAATTCACAAATACCCGGCCCACGAGTGGTGGGGAGAAGCTACGGTGTTACCATCAGATCAGAAGTTAGTGCCTTACCAGCAGCTCCTGTAGTTCACGATCGATACTAGGCAGCGGGTTTCTCCAGAACATGAAGGAACTGAATTCTAGGTCCTCAGGCTCACTGGCTGGGTGTCCTTTTTCTACCGTGTCTTTTGGGGGTTTAGGCTGAGATTAAAAGAAATAATAAAAATCTGAAACTGAGAGGGTTACAAATGAAATCACATGTGACACAGAAGTCAGACAAGACAGGGCAGAACAAACTATGATATTCGTCCAGGTAAATTTGGTTGACTGTAAACACATAACTTGGAGAGACGTGACATGTAGCAGAAAAGAGCACGAAGAGCCCGGCTTGTCTAAGGAATTACCTTGGAGGGCAGATGGAAACCAGAAATGTGCAGAGGAGTTTCTGGGTGCTGAATCGATGAGGTCACTTTAACCTTAAAAAAAAGTGACAGCCCTGAGCAAGGAAATACAGTTTGAAAATTCAGCATGGAAGGGTAATTTAAAAAACAAAAAACATTTTGCCCTGATTTCTGAAATCAAAGATATGCAATGTTCAGAAAAATTGGAAAATATATATAAAAAAATATAAATTCAGTCATCCCAATGCTACTAAATACACTTCAGGTATTTGTTTTTTGCCATTATACTTAAAGCTGTCATGAACGTTATTATCTGTAAAACCTGGAAGTATTTTTGGTTATATCATTAGGATAAATGCCTGAGTGGAACTGCTGGGTCTAAGGATATACTGTTTTAAAGCTTTTGATACAAACTAACTCTTGCCAAAAAGGCTGCAGGAAAGGGCAGTTTTTAGAAATGGGCTAATGGGTGCCAAACGGAAAACCAACTTCCAGGTACCCTAGGTTCAGACGGTCACAGAGTCAAAGTTTATATAAAATTATTCCGTTTACTATTCTGACAACACGCAAAAGTCTGCATCTTAGGATTTTATACTTTTTGGATTAGAGGACTCTAAACCTGGTTGGAAAAAAGTGAGGGTAGTTCCGAGTGGTACAAGAATGTGAGCCCACCATAGTTTTGATGACAAAACTATAGGCAAAGGAGATCAAGTATTTCTTTGTTAACACTATTTGAAATGAATTATTATTAGGTTAATTATTTGGCTTCCAAAATCCTCTGGCTTAGAAACAGCTAATGGGACCCAGGCACAAATCCATCAGTCTCTTCAGCCTAGCCACGTTGGCTAAGTCCCTAAAAGCACAATAGGAACCCAGAGTTTTGAAGGTAGCAAGGGTTGAAAAAAATTACAAGCACTTAGTGTTCCGTTTTTTTTTTACTTTCAGAAGGAATTCTATTATAAAAAAAGAATACAGGCTGGGCGTGGTGGCTCACGCCTGTAATCCCAGCACTTTGAGTCTGAGGCAAGAGGATGGCTTGAAGCCAGGAGGAGTTTGAGGTTGCAGAGAGCTATGATGATGCCACTCCACTCTAGCCAGGTAACAGAGTGAGACCCTGTCTCTAAATAAATATATATAGATTTTTATTTTTTTTGCATTTTTCAAATTTGAACAACCCTTCCCAAAAACCCACAGAGACACATCTGCTAATTCTAATGGATGAACCTTATTTGCATTCTGACCCAAACAAACTCTTTTTTTTTTTTTTGAGACAGAGTCTCACTGTGTTGCCCGGGCTAGGGTGCCGTGGCATCATCCTAGCTCACAGCAACCTCCAACTCCTGGGCTCAAGCGATCCTCCTGCCTCAGCCTCCCAAGCAGCTGGGACTACAGGCATGCGCCACCATGCCCGGCTAATTTTTTCTATATATTTTTAGTTGTCCGATTAATTTCTTTGTATTTTTAGTAGAGACGGGGTCTCGCTCTTGCTCAGGCTGGTTTCGAACTCCTGAGCTCAAATGATCCGCCAGCTTCGGCCTCCCAGAGAGCTAGGATTACAGGCGTGAGCCACCGCGCCCGGCCCCAAACAAACTCTTAATAAAATTTATAAAATAACTGGGAATTGTGAACACTGATTGGCTATTGGATGATATCATAGATTACTGTTAATTTTGTGTAGGTGTAATAATGGCTTTGAGGTTATTTTTTTAAAGAGTCTTTACTGGAGCAGTGGGTCAGTATAGATAAAAACAGACCAGCCCCATGATAACTGTGGAAGTGGAATGATGGGGATTACTGGGCTCATCACACTATCCCCTCTGCTTTTGTACAGTGGATAGTTTCCGTAAGGTTTGAAAAAACCAACCCTCTTAATTTACCTTTTCTGGTTCTTGTTTTAGGTGAGACACCCCAACAAACTCTGCTTCCAACTGGTAGGTGAGTGCCAACACTTGGATATCTGTGGCAGAGAGACTGGGATAGTCTCCAGTTTTCTTTGAAAATTCAGTCACTGTAAACAAAAGATTTCCAGTCTCAGTTAGAGGCAAAAAGCTACATGACCTTGGATAAACCCAATAAAAATTATCAAAGAATTTAGAAAGGATCAACATCCCATGAAAAACCTTTTTCATCCATTTTCTGATCTTTTTTTCTACTAATAGTTGAGAAATTTGTGTTCTCCACCACAATGATTCACATCAGTAAGAGCAGAGGAAGCAGAACAAAGTTAACAGAAAGTCATTCAAAGTTAGCATGATGATGAGAGTTCCTTATTTAAGCTTTGGTATTACGTTAGAATAGAAGCTCTAGTCTCTTCCAGCTCTAAAATTCTTTGATTTTAAGCATAACAATGTAGATTAACGGGATGGATGATCAGATTCCAAAATGGAATAGAAAGTTAATTCAACAGGTTGAGTATGCCATGTCCAAAATGCTTGGGACCACAAATATTTCAGATTTCAGGTATTTTTAGATTTTGGACTATTTGCATATGTATAATGAGATATCTTGGGGATGGGACCCAGGTCTAGATGCAAAATTCATTTATGGTTTATATATAGATATAGCCTAAAGGTAATTTTACATCCTTTTAAAAAAGAGACCAGGTCTTACTATGTTGCCCAGGCTGGACTTGAACTCCTAGGCTCAGGAGATCCTCCTGCCTCAGCCTCTCAAGTAGGTGGAACTACAGGCATGTGCCACTGTGCCTGGCTGAGGAGTTGTTCTGAAGGTAATTTTATACAATAATTTTAATGCACAAAATTGAGATGTGGAAACTTGTGGCATCATGTCTGCACTTAAAGAGTTTCGGATTTTGGAGAATTTCGGATTTAGAATTTTTGGATCAGGGATGCTGGGCCTGTAATTGTAGTCTGTGAAGAAATAAAAACATTGAGATGTTTTTAACAAGTAATGAACAATTAAAAAAAAAAAATCAGCCTTGTGCGGTGGCTCATGCCTATAAACCCAGCACTTTGGGAGGCTGAGGCAGGAGGACTGCTTGAGGCCAAGAGTTCGAGAACAGCCTGTTCAACACAGTAAGACCCTATCTCTACAAAAAAATAGAAAAATTAGCCTGGTGTGGTGGTGCATACCTATAGTCCCAGCTACTTGGGAGGCTGAGGTGGGAGGATTGCTTGAGCCCAGGTGTTTGGGGTTGCAGTGAGGTATTACAACACTGCACTCTAGCCTGGGCAACAGAGCAAGACCCTGTCTCAAAACAAACAAAAGAACCAACAAAAAAAAAAACCCCACTATGTTTTTTTTTTTGAGACAGAGTTTCACTCCGTTGCCCTGGCTAGAGTGAGTGCCATGGCGTCAGCCTAGCTCACAGCAACCTCAAACTCCTGGGCTCAAGCGATCCTACTGCCTTAGCCTCCCAAGCAGCTGGGACTACAGGCATGCGCCACCATGCCCGGCTAATTTTTTCTATATATTTTTAGTTGTCCAGATCATTTCTTTCTATTTTTAGTAGAGACGGGGTCTCGCTGTTGCTCAGGCTGGTCTTGAACTCCTGAGCTCAAACAACCCGCCTGCCTCGGCCTCCCAGAGTGCTAGGATTACAGGTGTGAGCCACCGCGCCCGGCCCCCACTATGTTTAATATATAGTAAATACCAGCTGTCACTATTGTTATTCTCCTGAGACATGGACAATAAAAACTTAAAATTTCCCACATTAACAGAAAGATGTTTTCTGTTACATTGGCACAAGGAACAGTAAGGACACTGCTCACGTTTCCTAAAAAATGGACATGAGTTAGCAGCAGCCACAATTTTTTGTGCACTTACTGCGTATGAGGCACTGTACTGAAAGCTTTACACGCTAATTCATTTCATCTTCTACCAAACCCTATGAAGTACTATTAGTATTTCCTTAGAAAGATTTAGTAACTTGGCAAAGATCACACAACCAGTAAGTTGGTGGAGAAAGCCATAGAAGTCACAGAGTACATAACATCTATCAGCCTCTAACCTCTAAATCACTTCAAATCACTGCGGGCCTTTCCTGGGTATCATCACCTTGATTCCTAACAAGAGAACAACGCTGACTCCTGATTCCTAAGTCAAGAGATAATTGTTTAGTTTTCTTCCAAGTTGAATGCAAGACCTAAAAGCATCCCTTTTTTAAGTTGAGGCTGACCTCCGTATCCAAAACAGTCATCACCTTAATGTAGTGAAATGGACGAAACTGTTCAGAGACCTGGGTTCTTCTATTTTAAATCAGAAAAAATTTACCGTGTGCTTACAAAGTGCTAAACAACGTTGAGTGACATACTCCTCAATTAATGATCACAGCAAACCCAGAGGTAGGTATTATCATTCCCATTTTGCAGTGATGAACCCGAGGGCATTTAGCTAGTTACTGGCAAGGCCTGGCTGCCTCCAGAATCAGGAGGCCTCTCTCCCACCACGATCTCCTATAAAGTGCTGTCTCTGAATCAAATGCTCTGTTAAAGCAGCCAGACTCGAGCGAGTCCCATATGCACCCCGGGCCCCAGTTTCCCATCAACGCCGGAACTCACCCAGCCGCACGTATTCTGGGGAGGGCTCCTTGAACCTCAGCTCGTAGGGCAGGACCGCGAGTCGCCTGCGCGTGGCTTTATCCCGAATCTCGCTGACCACCTCCCGGATGGTGTAGATGTTCTTCCCAATGTCCTGCGGAGAAACAGGCCAGCTCACACCCGCCCGATTCCACCCCAACCCAGACCAGGTTCCTCTGGGCTAAATCTCCCAGTACCTGTAAAGCCGCGTCCCGCAAGAAAGCCCCAGCGTCCGCCACAATGTGCTCCACGGGCGCCATCTTGGCTGGACGAGTAGGCAGCGCGCATGCGCACCGAACTTGCGCCCGCCCCTACGTCTCAATCCAGGCCTCTGGGAACCAGGGAGAACAGCCATTACTTAGAGGCGTCTCCTGGCGGCCGCGCTGGCTCTCCCAGCTCAAGGCTGCCCGCGCGCATGCGCAGCGATGCCGCCAGCCCTGCAGGGAGGTGTAGGCGGCGTCAAACCTAGGGGGACACCTGAGGAACTCGGCTTCAGCCTCTACACTTTAGCACCGTTTTTACTTTTAAATGTACAACCTGAATATGTCTGCATGATTAGAAGTTAGTCAATACAGATAACCTAATTTAACTGTCATAACAACCCTATGAGGTAGGTACTATTTTATAAGCAAGGGATATAGCTACATAGGCCCAGCTGACATGGCGGGTAGGTCTTGTTAACAAGCAACACCCCAAGACACTGACTCGGAGCCCCGTTTTCATCCATTATGTTATACCGACCGCTGCTTATGTACCTCCACTTCACTTTTTTTTTTTAATCACTCCTAGGATAACCTTCACTTGGGACCAGGATTTATGTCTTTTTTGTTGTTGTTTTGTTTTGTTTTGTTCTTTTCTTTTAAAGAGATGGGTTTTGGCTGGGCGCGGTGTCTCACACCTGTGATCCTAGCACTCTGGGAGGCCGAGGCTGGAGGATCGCTTGAGCTCAGGAATTGAGACCAGCCTGAGCAAGAGCCAGACCCTGTCTAAAAATAGAAAAAAATTATCCTGTCAACTAAAAACAGAAAAAAAAAAAATTAGCCTGGCAGGCGTGGTGGTGTGCGTCTGTAGTCCCAGCTACTTGGGAGGCTGAGGCAGGAGGATCCCTTGAGCCCAGGAGTTTGAGGTTGCTGTGAGCTAGGCTGATGCCCCGGCACTCTAGCCCTGCAATAGAGTGAGATTCTGTCTCAAAAAAAAAAAAAAAAGAGATGGGCTTTGCTCTGTTGCCCAGAAACTGCAGTGCAGTGGTATCATCATAGCTCACTGCAGCCTCAAGTGATCCTCCTACCACACCCTGCCAAGTAGCTGGGACTGCAAACACAGATAATTTTTTTTTTAATTTAATTTTTTGTAGAGGCGGGGTGTTGCTATGTTTTCCAAGCTGTCTCAAACTGCTGGCCTCAAGTGATGCTCCTGCCTGGGCCTCCCAAAGTGCTGGGATTACAGGCTTATTTGTCTTAATATCCTCACCTTACCTACCTAAGAAAGGCACATTAATTGTTAGCAAATAATTTCTTGCTGAATCCAAGGGAAGGGGTATTAAATGACTTCTAAATTTCCTTTCAAATCTGAGATTCCATAATTATGAGATCTGGCCTATTACATGCTGGTGAATTTTGGCTAAATGTTGACTTGAGTCTTCAATCATCCATCTTCATCCAAACTTCCTTTATCAGGTCTTTGCTCCAATTTATTCCTCCATTGCAATTTATCTGTCCGCCCTCAAAAATCCTTCAGCGCCCCGAGGGTCTCCTTCAGCAGTTACCCAAATTCCTTTTCCTTCCCCAAATATCTTCTGTCTCATCCTTTGTCACCATTCAGTCTCTTCGACCTCTAGATCCTGCCTGTGCTACCTCCCTAACAGAGCATGGTTGGAGGCTATTTCTCAGTTTCTAGTTTATCATATCAATTTTTGGGTTTTTTTTTTTTTGAGACAGAGTCTCACCGTGTTGCCCCGGCTAGAGTGCCGTGGCGTCATCCTAGCTCACAGCAACCTCAAACTCCTGGGCTCAAGCGATCCTCCTGCCTCAGCCTCCCGAGTAGCTGGGACTACAGGCATGCGCCACCATGCCCGGCTAATTTTTTCTATATATTTTTAGTTGTCCAATTAATTTCTTTCTAATTTTAGTAGAGACGGGGTCTCGCTCTTGCTCAGGCTGGTCTCGAACTCCTGAGCTCAAACAATCCGCCCACCTCGGCCTCCCAGAGAGCTAAGAATTTTTGGGTTCTTATTTCTGAGCTTTCTCAGTTTCTCTGCAGGGTTTGATATCGCTGACCAACTCCTCTTTCTCGACTGCCTCTCCTTGCCTGACTTCGGTGATTATTCACCATCCTGGTCTCCCCTGTCTCTCTAATGGCTTCTCACCCTTTCGTCCTCTTGCCTTGCAAACACATGCCTTCCACCGAACTGTCTTCGCCCCTTTGTTTATCTAAGTTCTCTCCTCCAGAAATACTGTCTATCCTCGAGCCTTCAATGATCACATTGAGAGAACACACCCCAAATCTATATGTCCAATCCCTGTCTTATTCCTCAGGCCACCTTTTATGGGAACATCCATCTGGAAAAGTTCTGGCATCTTCACTCAAGAGGAAGATTAAAACTGAGATAATTATCTGCCCCCCCTCAAAGTTTCTTCACTTGTTTGAGTTCCCATTTTTATTAAAGATGTTACCAACAAAAGCATTCAGGGTAGGGATCTCTGAGTCATCCCCATCTCCACCCTCACTCCTCTCAGTAAAGTTTGTAAATGCCACTCTGGAATGTTTGGGATGTTTGGATTCCTTCCACATCCTTTCCCATTATTCTAATCAAGTTTATATCTGTTGCCCAGAAAATGTAATTCCTTCAATACTGCTATTCCTTTTTTTTTCTTTTCACTTAGCCTGCAGACCCAAAGTTACAAATACTGCTATTCCTGTCTCTAATTTTTACTTCTCCAATTGATCGCCCATGTTGAACTAAAAGGGGAGGGACAATGTGGGAACTGTACTCCATAAAGGAGGTTTATTATGGAAGACTCCATAATAAAGTTGGTAGGGATCACTCTGTAAACCCTAGAATGAAGAATGATGATCCAAGGCAGCGATTGTCAAACTTGAGCGTGTGTCAGAATCACCTGCAGAGCTTGGGAAAACAAGTGACTGGACCTCATCCTCAGTTTCTGATTCAGTAGGTCTGGACGGGGGCCCGAGAATTTGCATTTCTAATGCGTTCTAAGCGATGCTTATGCTGCTGACCCGGGGGCCACACTTTGAGGACCATTGATTTAGGGGAATAATTAGGAGGAGAAAGATGGGACTCTGAGCTATTTATTTTCTAGTAAACTCTATAAATACTTAAACCAAAGATTTCGTGACACTGTACTTTTTGTAGTATTTTAGATAGTATTTTAATCCTTTTTCTGTTTCCATGTAAGTTTCCAAACCCTTGAAAGCCGTAGATGGACCCCCATTTATTCAACGAACATATGTGGAAAGCTAATTTATATCACCACGGATTCGCTGATATCACAGCTACGAACAAAATGATATTTTGTGTCGTGTCCTAGACCTACAGAGTTTATGAATTCAGAGTTGGATCTTGGAGGATCACCAGGGCAAACATACTGAGATGTGAAAGTCCAAAAAGTGTTCAGGGAATTGGGGGTAGTGCCTGTTGGGTAGGACAGGACATCTGGGGACAGAGTCTTTCAGAGGTGAACTCACCTCCTGAGATAATTTTTTGAAGCTCCTGGTTTTTTTTAAAAAAGGTGGAAGAAATTTTAACACACCATCACAAAATTATGGTGGCTTTTAAAAGTTTACAATAACAAACGAACGCTTTTGAACACATATAGAAGGACTCAATACATAACTCACTTGGAGACAATGTCACGTTTTACGTGTGCGGCCTTCCATGAAAGAGAAAGATCTTGTTTCTGTGCCGGTGAAGATCTAAGTTCACTTGCAGGACCAGAAAAGGTAGAGTCTGTGAAAGGATGTGCTTCTTCAACAGTGGACTAGGGGAGAGAAAGACTCATTGCAGAGGAAACACTATTGGAAATCAGTAGGTGTCCCTAGAATTCCTCTGGACTTTCCTGGAGATGTCCTGGGCTTTCTTGTCTGTCTTCACCCTTGTTTTTTCTTCTGCCTGAAAATTCTGCCAGCCAGGTTTTGTGCACTTGATCTCTAACCAACAGGTCAATTGTTCCCTCGTGTGTAATCTGGTCCCTGATTATCCAAGTCAGATCCCTCCACCCCACCCCAAGGATGGATTTAAACTCTTCTTTCTCACTACACGTAAGAAATTTCAGTTCTGTCATGCAATGAACAGTTATTATTTCTGCCTTGCAATGTAATTAATTGAGTGAACTACTTTAAATAGGTTGGATGTCTGGGACTGTTTTAGGGGTCTTTTTCCCTATGTAAACATATCAATTTTCTTTTAAATTTTTCTGGGGACATTTACGATGATGACATATTTTAGACTTTGTGTCCTTTAAAAAAATCTCCTATATTATAGGATCCATAGCAATGAGTTTGGTGCTCAATAACGTTAATAAAATCTATTTAGGCCAGGTGTGGTGGCTCACACCTGTAATCCTAGCACTTTGGGAGGCTGAGGTGGAATTGAGGCCAAGAGTTCAAGACCAGCTTGAGCAAGAGTGAGACCCCCATCTCTACAAAAAATAGAAAAATTAGCCATGTGTGGTGGTGTGCGCCTGTAGTCCCAGCTACTGGAGAGGCTGAGGCCAGGAGGATCGCTGGAGCCCAGAAGGCAGAGGTTGCCATAAACTAAGATAATACCACTGCACTCTACTCCCAGAGACAGATTAAGACTCTGTCTCAAAAAAAAAAAATCTATTTAACAAATTGAGGTCTCCTATGGACAAGGCATTGTTGTAGAAGATGGGATATAGTTACTGTCTTCATAATTCTTGTAGTGGGAAACATACATATATTCATATATTCTTACAAAAGTCAGATTGTGATAAGTCTGGAGGAAATACAGTAAAAAAAATAAAGCAGGAAGTAGGCTGGTGGGAGGGGAAGGAAGCGATGAGTTATAATTTTAAATGGGGTGATCATGAAAGGCTTCACTGAGAGAGAGAGTTGAGCAAACATCTGAAAGAGATATCTGACTATCTGGGGAAAAAGCTTTCCAGGCAGAGGGACAAACAAGTGCAAAGGCCCTGAGGCCAGAGTGGCTGAAGCAGGGTGATAAGGGAAAGAGTAGTTGGAGATGAGATGAGAGAAATAAAGGGGAGGTCTGGGAGGCATCACGTAGGGCCTTGTAGATCCCAGTCACTACATTAGCTTTTGTTCCTTTGAAGCACAGTGCATGCTCTTTGCCTGGTCCCCTCTCCCCTTTAGTGAAGACTTACTCTAATGCCCCCAAATCAAGGAACTCTTCCCTAAATTCCTCTAGAATAGAATTGGTAAAACTCCCATCAGTGAAACTAGAAAAGTACAGATTTATGGATGGGATGAATATAGGGTTTAACATATTAAAAGAGGGCTCCTGGATTAAAAGTCGATCTCCTGGATTTGAAATAGGAATAGAAATAGTAGAGACTAAGTGTTCAACCAATTTAATTTGTATACATGATAGAATTCGTCCAAACTCGAAGACCCCCAAAATAACAGAATAATTAGTACACAGTCCTTAAGGCTAATTAGATGATGAGTATTAATTTTAATCAATGGTGATTAAATTCAGCCTTCGTTCACATTCAGCTTGTCAAAGCTGAGGGTCCAGAATATAAGTCAAGAATGTTGATTTAAAATATTTCTGGCTGGGCATGGTGCCAAGCACCTGTAGTCCCACCTACTTAGGTGGGCTCAGGCGAGAGGATCGCTTGAGGCCCAGAGTTGGAGTTCAGCCTGGGCAACATAGACCCATCTCTTAAAAAAATGTTTTTTAATTCATAAAGTTCTATGTACTCTGTAGATTAAGGGAATAGGGGTTGGTTTGGTGTGGTGGGGCATTTTTGTGGACCTGGGGCAGGGGTTTTGAAGATTTTCTAATTTTGCTTTATGTCACAGGAACAGATATTCCACAAAGGCCAGGATTTTTGTGTTTCTAGATCCTAGAACAGTGCCTGGCACAGCATAGGCGTAGGGTTGCCAGTAAATAAAAATACCCGACGCTCAATTCAACTTGATTTTCAGATAATCAACAAATGCTTTTTAAGTATAAATATGTCCTTTGCAGTATTTGGGACATACATGTTCCACTGTTGTTTATCTGACATTCAAATTTAACTGGGTGTCCTGTATTTTATCTGGCAACCCTACTTAAGGAACTCAATAAATGTTTGTTGACTTAATTGATTGAAGGTCTCCTTTCACCTGTAAAATGGGGCTAGTAATTGTCTCCACCTGCATAGGGTTGATCAGCAGAGTAAATGAAGCGTCCGGCACTCCGTGAGCCCTCAATTTACATAATTGCTCGGGGACCATCCGGCGAGCAGAAAACCCTCCCACTTCCAAACACACAAGTGATAAGAGGGCCTCCTCCAAACCGAAGGTTCTCAGGCCAGGCATAGGTTGTCCGCACCTGTGAGCCCGGCCAGCCTCTTCCGGGTCAGGTGACCACGCGCGGTCACGTGACCCGGCCCGAGTGCGGGCGGTGGAAGGCGGAAGTGGGAGAGGAGTTGGGCGCCGCTTCTGTGGCCACGGCAGGTAGCGGGCGCGAGCGCGGGGGGCGCGGCGGCGGGCGGGCGGCGCG